GGTTATTTGTTTTGCCCTGTTCGAATCTGTAGGAATTGCCTGTCTGAGTGCTGTTCCAGTTCCAGTTACTGATTCCATGATGTCAGTGTAAATGAAATGGTATGCTCAAATATTACCGCTAAAATAGCTTACTGTCTTAGCAGATGTTATTGTTATTTTCCACCACTCTCTTGGTGGTGGTGATGATGCGCGATGTATCTGAAGAGTGGTGGGGGCGTGTGTGTGTGTGACGAATCTGAAGAGCAGTGGAGGCATGTGCGTGCGATGTACCTGAGGGGCAGGGGTGAGTTGTGCGAAACGTACCTGAAGAGCTGAAAGGGATGCGGTGGAGAGAGGTGTGCATCGAATTTAGGCAACGGGGGGAGACGTGCGATTTCCGGAAGATTATCATTCGTTTGCGGGCATCGAGGAGTCTCTTTGCATTGGCGGGAGACTCGTGAAACTTCCGGGAGTCTTGGGATGTCTGGGATTACGTTAATGTTACTAGCCATTTTGCAAGGTAATAAAGCGCTTGCCGGACTGGATAGTGTTTGGAGGAGGGCGAATGTGGTGATATGTGAACAGGTTATTGAGATTGGCTGTTTTGTCAGTTCCAGGAAGTTGTCTCTGTCTCTTGCTCCCTCTCCTGTATCTACAACCACCTCCTTGATATCATCTGTTGCTGCTGGAGCTGTAAGAAACTCTTAAATTAAGTGGTAACACTTTACAATAAGGTTCATTAGTTAATGCCTTTACTAACATGAACTAATCATGAACAACACTTGAACAGCATTTATTAATCATATTTGAACATTTACTAACGCATTATTAACATTCAAGTCCATGCTTGTTAACATTAGTTAATGCACCATGAGTTAACATGAACTAACAATGAACTACTGTATTTTCATTAACTAACGTTTATTAACATGAATAAATACTGTAGTAAATGTATTGTTCAGTGTTTGTTCATGTTAGTAAATGCATTACTTAACATTAACTAATGAACCTTATTGTATAGTGTGACCAATTCAGTTTGTTTTTTACACACAATGAAAGTTTAAATAAGCATTCTTTATAAGTGATATGCAATCATGTAATGCATATTTATTTATCCTTCTTTTATTTATATAGGATGTGAAAGTTTCTGCCTCATCCTCTGGTACCAATTCTGCTCCTCTTGCACCTGCGATTTCTGCATTAGCTAGTACCACCTCTTTTTTAGTCCCTTCTACTGCTCCATCTGTGGCTGGTCCCACGGCTTACTGTACTGCTGACATGGAGAGTGCTCCTGGCTCAGATCCTTGCTTGCTGCCTTTAAAGCTGATAGGGACCATACCACCTCAGAATCAGAAGTGGATTTCATCAGCTCTGTGGACAAACTAGCGGCTGCGCACTGATCTGAAGCTGTGGTATAATCCACCAGAGCCAGCACTCAATTAATAATAATAATAATAATAATTCCTTACATTTATATAGCGCTTTTCTGGGCACTCAAAGCGCTTTACACAGTGGGGCTGCCGGCCCAATTATCATCAGGCTCCCACTTCAGAGCATTTTTCACACACAAACTCCTATTGTAGATGCCTTATCATCTTTGGAAGGTCAGACTGTCCTGCGGTGTGTGTGGAAAACAGCTCGATAGGTTGATAGGTACTACTCAATGATTACTGAGACTCTCTAGTGCAATTAAGCTGGTAGTAAAAGAGCTCACATTTCCATTATCAAGACCATCAGCTGGACTTGTCCTTGACACAGAATGGAGTTCCGACTGATCCTGACAAGAAGGTAAATATACACAGATAATTTAGCCTTTGTCGCAATTGTTTGTCATTCAGGCATACCATAAATTAGTTTGTTTAAATGTCTGCCATTATTTTATCTGTTTTTCACTTCGTTTCTTAATACAGATATGCCTGTGACATGCGAGTGATCCGTTTTCTGAGGGAGAGGACCTTATATACCTTATATATATATAGTGGATTAGCTTAACGGGAAGAAGATTCATTTGAACGGGGCTTTAAACAAATTGACTCTTTAGATCCGAACAAACAAATCTTCCAGCAATCGTTCGAGTGGACAGTCGAGTTTATTATGGCTGTTGCTATCAAAAATAAAAACCCATTTATGTTTGAGCAGGGTAACAAGATCGAAGTTTAAGACATTAGATTCATAAATATACACAGGCACCTTTCTTTATACAAAATGAAACTTTATTGACCAATTTAACAGAAACAAACACCTAACACAAACACACATTCATACAAGTGTAGAGAAGGGTAAAGAAAGTAAAGTAAGAGGTTGAGAGAATGTAATGATAGGAAAACCTCAGATTTTGTAAGAGCAAACCAAAGGCAAAGGGGCCAGTCATGAGGTCTACTGGTTTGCGACGCACTAAACTGAACTAGACTCTCAATGGAAAATAAAGAAAGGAAGGTATCTCAGATGTTAAAGTCCGAGCTGTACGATTAACCCTTTCCGTCTGGGTCTCCGCCTGCTTTCTTGGAGGTTTCTCTTCGTAGGTCTCGTTCTTAGGTCGTTGCTATGACTTGGGTTGAAGAGAGAGTCACTTTTTAGAAGAAGAGTTGAAGAGGAGCTCTTTCTAAAGAAGAGCAAGTTGAAGAGGTTGCAGAGTTTGAAGAGGTTGCGGTTTTGAGAGCATGGTTCCAGAGAGTTGCAGAGCAGGTTTAGGAGAGCTGCTGGTTAAGAGAGCATGGTTCAAGAGAGCGAGGGTGTTGCTTTGAACAAGCTTTATAGGGCGGGTTCGGATCCACCCTCCATGGAAAGTTGACCAATTAGATACTAACTTCCTTGAATCCTGGTTTTATGGTTCTTTGTTCAAAGAAGAGGAATTTGCATAGGCAAAATTGATGCAAACTGAGGCAGATATGTTTAAGCCTTTTAAAATGTGAATATGTTGCACTCGCATTAACATGAAATGTCAACGATCAAATAGTACAGCAAGTTAGCTTCAAAACAACTCTAAACATGACGGTTTATGAGCTTGTTTAGCTGCAGTAGAGTTAAACACTGTATGCAGAAGTATTAAAGAGTCAATGAAATGGCAGGTCTTGATATGAGGACTCCCGAGTAGCCACAGCGTCCTGGGTTAGCTAGCACAACAACTTTTATATACCCATTGATGAGTAATGCAGGCATCCAATCAGGATTTACCACATCTGGAGTCTTGGAATCACAGTGTAGTAATATTGTAAAACTTTATACATGTCGCTCTGCCTAAATCATAAAATATTGAAAGTTTGTTTTCTACTAAAAAAAAATACATGTAGTAAACTAGAAAGAATCTTGAACCTAAAACTAAAGAAACTTTACAAACAAAAGCTGTAACACAGGACAATTGAATAAGCTTTCTAAACTTGAGGCCCTCGTATACTTTAAACTAACTGTCCTGGAGCTCTATCCTCTTTGATGTGTGGTGTCTTCCCAGTGATTTGTTTCATATTCAGGGAGTTAGACAGAGAACATCGTCCAAAACAACACTAGCTACATGAATAAACTGGAGAGTGGAGTACAGATGTATCCACACCTGTACAATCACTTGCAAAGAGATTTTAAGCCACAGAGGTGCTGTTTGCCAGATGTTTATGAAGCCGCCATCATTGTCTTTACGGTAAATGCGAGGAGCGCAACACATTTACAACCTCGCCTGGAAAACAGTATACCCCCACTCAGCCTTTCCAAACATTATTCAGACATGAAACATCCTTTGCACATGAGAAAATGTTTTGCTGCATTCATGTCATGTTGTCCATGTGCAGAATGAGCGAAACTCTGTAGACACTGATCAAATCTGTACGGTTTTTCTCAAGTGTGAATCATCTGGTGTTTTCAGATGTGTTAACTGATTAAACCTCTTGTCACAGTCTGAACACTTGTACGGTCTCTCCGGTGTGAATCGTCTGGTGCGGTTACAATTTTGGAGCTGTAATAAAAGTCTTCTCAATGCCTATACACACCGGGACGCTTTTCATTTGCGTTTATCGTCAGCGTTTTACGAGTAATTTTTCAGCATTTAAACCCAAGCGATTTTCACTGGCTTCAAGCAGAAGAGTATGCAAAACACTCTTTGATGTTAGATGGTGCAACACAACTTTAAGCTTCCGACATCCGCTTGTAACACAGAAGAAGATAGAAAGTTCACACACTTGTTGTTAGAGTTATTGGTGACTCGAACAAGATGGTTCAAGCAGCAGCGCCAGCTCTAGCGAAGAAGAAATTATTATTGTTCACCAGTGCAATAAGCAGCTCCAAGTTCATATCACATTGACAATTTTGCACTTGAGTGCCTCCAAGTGCTGTTTACTGTAACTTCAGCAGCTCCTTGCACATGAACAAAAGTGTCAACCTAACTGGTAGAGAAGGTTTTGACACGGCACGTCAAATAAAAAAATAAAAAAACGAGCATAAGGCGTTTTTTTTAATTGACGCTTTTACACCTGGCGTTTTGCACGTTGCTGTGCACGATCACACTGACGCCCTTTATATAGTTACAAGACGTTAAACGTTGATGGTAAACATAAGCAAAAAACATCTCAGTGTGCACGGGCATTCACACTCAAGACCATATAATCTTGCACACCAGTGTGGATCTTCATGTGTTCATTAAGGTTTGCTAATCGGTTGAAACTCTTCCCACACTGAGTGCAATAGTTTCTCTCCAGTGTTGGTCTTCATGTTTAAGGTCTGAGGAGTTGCTGAAACTCATTCCACACCAGAGCTGCGGTCACACTAGAGTTTGAGCATGCGAAATTCTTTTGTATGGCGCTGCAAAAAGGGGCGGGATTAAACAAAATGATTAGTCATTAAAAAAGGGAGCGATTGGTCCATATTTTAAATTTCTTTCAAAAGAGGTCATGTTTTGATCTTTAATTGGTCTCACACAGTCAAGTGATACGATATTGCAGGTCAGAGTTCACCAAGCTTGAACTTTGCAACGTAGTGAACTGTGAAACTTGATGCATGAACTTGCGTTTCCGGTCTGATGCATTCAAGTGTGTATGAATGGTAGTCTATGGGGAGAAAAGTCCAGTGTGACCGCGGCTCAAGTGCAAGTGAATGGTTTCTCTCCAGTGTGGCTCAACATGTGTAGATGAAGGGATGATGATCGGCTATAACTCTTCCCACACTGAGTGCATGTAAAGGGTTTCTCCCCAGTGTGGATCCTCATGTGTTTATTAAGGTTTGATGAGCGGTTAAAACTCTTCCCACACTGAGTGCATGTGAATGGTTTTTCTCCAGTGTGGATCTTCATGTGATCATTAAGGGATGATGATTGGCTGAAACTCTTCCTACACTGAGTGCATGTGAATGGTTTCTCTCCAGTGTGGATCTTCATGTGTTGATTAAGGTTTGATGATTGGCTGAAACTCTTCCCACACTGAGTGCATGTGAATGATTTTTCACCAGTGTGGATTCTCATGTGTTGATTAAGGTGTGATGAGCAGTTAAAACTCTTCCCGCACTGAGTGCATGTGAATGGTTTCTCTCCTGTGTGGATTCTCATGTGTTGATTAAGGTGTGATGAGCGGATAAAACTGTTTCCACACTGGGTGCATGTGAATGGTTTCTCTCCAGTGTGGCTCATCATGTGTTTATTAAGGTCTGATGATTGACTGAAACTCTTCCCACACTGAGTGCATGTGAATGGTTTCTGTCCAGTATGGATCCTCATGTGTAGATTGAAGTTTGATGATTGACTGAAACTCTTCCCACACTGAGTGCATGTGAATGGCTTCTCTCCAGTGTGGATCCTCATGTGTTGCTTAAAGTGGGATGAGCAGTTAAAACACTTCCCACACTGACTGCATGAGAATGGTTTCTCTCCACTGTGGATCCTCATGTGTTGATTAAGGTGTGATGAGCAGGTAAAACTCTTCCCACACTGAGTGCATGTGAATGGTTTCTCTCCAGTGTGGATCCTCATGTGTAGATTAAAGTTTGATGATTGGCTAAAACTCTTCCCACACTGAGTGCATGTGTATGGTTTTTCTCCAGTGTGGATTTTTTTGTGTTTACTAAGGGCTGATATTTGGTTGAAACTCTTCCCACACTGAAGGCATGTGAAGGATTTCTTACCAGTGTGGATACTCATGTGAATCTTAAGACTGCTTTTGCTTGCCAAACTCTTTCCACACTGAGTGCAGGTGAAACGATTCTTGTCTCTCCTTTTTAAAATACCATCAGTCTGTAAATGAGTTTTTTCCTCAATTTTGACATGATGTTCCTCCTCTTTACTCCCCTCTTTCTCTTCAATTAGGTCTGAAATAAATAAATAAAACATTAGTTTTCATTAAGTCTTAAAAACTCCCATTAAAAGCTGAAAAGTGAAAAGACACTGGAAACATTGGCTACACACACTGTAATTTTGATGCACATTAAATGTAAAATAAATCAGATCATATTGTGTTTGGTCCACTAACGTGTAAATATTTAAGCAGATTCAATTCAATTCATCTTTATTTATCTAGTGCTTTTACAATGTAAATAGTGTCATTGGCTATATTCATGGCAAAAACATATACTAATACATAATACAATATATAATCATAAAATCAAATCAGTTTCTTAACAAACATGCATTATAAAAAAAAAAGTAACAGCAGCACTAAAAACAGTCATAAACAATCTTTTAGTTTGATTATAGATAAATATTCTAAAAGTGCTCCAGAAGGCACCTTTTCAAACATTTCTTAAAAACATTTAAAATACTTTCCGAATGAAAACGTGAAAAACAGTGCACAAGCTTCAGCTGTGAATATCGAGCTTTGTCCAGGAATACTCTTTCTGAAACACTCTGAACCAATCTCTGCTGCAGCAGATACTCATCCATCTCATTTTGAACCATCTGTATACACTGGTACATAAGTTGGTAGATTGCATCGGATATTTATAAATTCTTCCTGATCAACATTTGGGTGGATTTCCCTTTTTTTAAACTGAGACAATTGCATTATAATAGATGGCTTTTTAATTTGGCTTTTAGGTGATATATGACATACATGTATCGTTGTTATTATATCCAACTAATATTAGATGATATTATTAATATATAGATTAATATCCAACTTCTCCAAGTGAGTTTTTATTTGAATTCCAAAGGGTCTGATGTTTCTGGGTCTGGCTTCATAGAGATGCTGATATTGAGGGTGGAAAACTGTAGAATATGCTGGATTGTCTTTATTAGCTTTCAGCTTGACTGCATATTTGAGAGCCAGTTTTAATCTTCTGTTGTAAAGTGACATTTCTTCTGCTGCCGTAAATACACTTTGAATTGGAGAAGTCCTGTATGCTCCAAGAGCAAGTCTCAGTCCTGTATAATGTTCTGTATTAAGCATCTTTATGTATGATACCCTTGCAAATCCGTAAACTACACTCCCATAGTCCATTTTTGATCTAATAAGTGTCCTACTAAGTCTTAAGAGTATCGCCCAATCTGCTCCCCATTTGATCTTTGCTAAAATTTTTATGACATTTATTGCATTAAAACATCTATTTCATAATACTTTAATATGATAAATAAAAGACAACTTATTGTCAAAACTTATTCCTAGGAGCTTTATCTCGTTCACAACTTGTATAGTATAATTTATATACTATATATAATTTGTCTTTCGACTGTATACATATTTTCCTTTATAACTAATACATATATCATCTACATAAAAACTACAAAATATAGTATTCCCAACAGCATTTACAATGTTATTAATTTTAATACTAAATGGTGTTACTAATAGTATACTTCCTTGGGGCACTCCAGATTCTTGTATATGCAATTCAGATAATATAGTTTTAATACGCACACGAAAAACTCTTTTGGATAAAAAAATTGCAATAAAATTAGGCAAATTTCCAGCTCCAGGTAGTATCATAGATCTTGTCCAGATCAAAAAGCAAAAAAAAAAAAAAAAAACACTACTGTGTTCTTTTTTTTATAAATCAGTCTCGTACAAAAGATTCTAATCGTATAAGATGGACAAGAGTACTTTTCCCTCTTCTAAACCCACACTGATATTTATTAATCTTCTGTTCTTTTTCTAAAATCCACAATAAACAATTATTAATCATTCGTTCTACTGTTTTGCAAAGGCAACTGGTAAGTGCTGTTGGACAATAATTATTTGAATGATCTTTTCCTGGTTTAGGTATTGGTATAATAATAGCTACTTTCTAAAATGCTGGTATTTCTCCTGATTTGCAGATACTGTTAACCCGACAAGATGCGGAAATGCCATCTAAAAAGGTGACCTGCTGTTTATCCAAATCAGGGACATTGACAACATAAACATACAAATAACAATGTTAACCCGGGATTTGCGATTGTGAAATGTCTGTTCATGAACACCAGGTATAACATGAGCAGTGTGAAAGGAGATTACAGATAACACAGGATTCTGGTGATCCAGTGTTAGAATGACCCAGGGTTAACAATTAATACTAAGAATACTCAGCATCAGCTCTCAGAATAAACAGAGCACTTATCATAAACATTGTGCTCCCCATACTTTATTTAGTAATAGGAAATTAATCCTTAACAAAGTATGAAAGTATAATTATTAAGCACATTATAAATGTGGTTGTAAGTCAGGAATACAGCATGTGTATTTATAAATGTGCAGTTATAAACAGTTTACTAACGCTTATTAATTTAGAGTTAATGCTAAACAGATAATGAATTCACTATGCATAATAAATGGTTCATAGTGTGTTATTGTAAAGTGTTACCAAACTATCTTTTGTCTTAGACCGACTCATGGGCGAGAATTAATGCTATGAAGTCTTACCTCCCTGACTCTTTATCCCTCCTTCCTGCTTTATAGCCATGCTTATTGAAAGTAACACCATCGTCATGTTACATAAACTTTGCAAAACTCGCTGCGCCGACACCTCTGCACAAAAGGCTGTTAATTTGGTTTCATGGCGCATGAGCGGCGCTTATTTTATCGGCGTGCATGCAAACAACCGGGATTCACACAAGAACATATGCAAGGTGCTATGAAAGAATGTTTTTCTGTATGCATGCATCAGTTCGCTTTCACAAGCTTTGTTTCGGTTGCACATTGAGAATAACAAACTTGCACGTGTAAAAGATGCTAAATGTAAATGGCCCCTAATGTCTTTAATCTGGTATTGCCAATAATCGTATCTCAATGCTTTTACTAGTGGACATTTTTTTTGCCGCCCGCAGGAAAATCTCACCCTGGGCGATCGCCCACATTGCCCATGCCTAAATCCACCACTGGCAATGCTAAACGTTATTGTTCCACTATTATTTGTCTGTTTTGTCTCACGTCATACCACAACATAAATATAGTTTAGAATAATGTACAATGCTTTATAATTATCAAGTATTTTAGTGTCAATTTCATTCAGCATGTTTAAAATTGGGGCATCCACGTTTTCTGACATACTTTAAACCAGGGTTCCTGCAGGTTTCACCAAGTTAAATTTAAGACTTTTAATGACCATTCTGAACGAACTTTTAGACTCATAAAGGGCTAAGAACTTTTCAAATGGCCCAGATTTTGTATTTGTCCTATGAAAAAAAAATTATAATAAAAAAATTATTATATTATTTTGGATATTTCTTAGCAAAAGATTTTAAATGTTGTGTAAAAAAGCAAGCTTTACTAGTATCCACACTTTTTATCCAAAATAAACTTTCTTTAAAATAAAAAAATGACCAAACGTTTTAAAAACTATATTAAACTAAATGTATGCACAATAATCTGTCCAGGTCAGTCCTCTGCAGTCCTCAGCAGTGAATACATGGAGCACGTTTAAACAAATGTTACTGTAAGGAAAATAATTAAACCATTATGATAAATAGAGTTAAAATTACCTTTTTCAATAAAAAAAAGTTTAAAGTTTTATTGAGATGGATTGTTGGTGATTGTAATGGGTTTTGGCCAGATTGGGTAGCAAAATATGAAAAAGGAAAATAAAGACTTGTTTAAAAAAAGATTTAAGACCTACAACACAATATTTCAGTAAATTTAGGACTTTTTAAGGCCTAAAATTTTGATTTAGGAATGTACGACATTTTAGGACCCCACGGATACCCTGTTTAAACACAATAGCCCTGGTAATTAGTTATAATAATAATGATTTAATTCTAACTCAGATACTATCTGTGAAAACTAGTAACAGCTACTAGGAACAAGTTTAAACCCATAAATAAGTTGATTTAAAAAGGGAAACTGTGATCAATGTGACATATGCAAATGGAAAGTACTAAGCCAACACTATCACTGTAATAGCAGATATCTACTATGAGAATACTGTAGGTCAAAAATCATCAGGTCAGTTAAACTTTTTTTTAATTTACTGTTTTTATTTATTTATATATAGTGCCAGTGCGCAGGTATGCTTTTCAAACAGTAGGAGAACAAGAAAAGAAGGTTAAAAAGGTAGAGAAAATGGGAGACTAATAATACATGAAATGAATGACAAAAGACACAAGAACAAGTGATGAAAGAAACTCATTCCTCTTTCAATGAGTGCTTGTGTGCGTTTAGGAGAACTAGGCAGCACACTCAGGGCTGCAAGATGGATTTAATTTAGTATTCTTATTATTAAAATATATCTGAATGAGGAACAAATGACTGAGTTGGTCTTTGAGAATGAAAATCAACCTGTTTGTTCCTGCAGATCTTCCTGTTTGACTGTGAATGTTTCTTCAATCTTCACATCTTCACTCTCCTCTTTAATAAACGCCATCTTTATAACAGTGTGGAGGTCAGTCAATTCAGCAGCAGTTTTTCTCTGTGTTTGGACACTTTATCCTGTTTAAAATGAATAAAACAATAAAAATGTCCTGTTTAAAATTAAGAAAACACTGAACTAAAACAAGATCATTTCTCTTCAACACTTCAACAGTTTCTTTATATGAGAGTCATTAACAAAAAGTAATCAGGTAAGTCTGAGCAAGAAACAATAGCCACAAATCAGCTGATTAAAACTAGTACTCCATTTTTCAAATTTTATTGATGTATACTTGGAATAGAATGACAATATGCTATTTAATAAATTTAACCTTCACTAAAACACTTATTACACACTTTACTGATGCTTTTTTCAAACTTTATTCAGGTATGTTTTTAATTGTTTAGTTTGTTTGATTTATTTTATTGTCTGCTTACAGCAACGTTGTAGCACTTATATGCACAAAACAAGAATTTCCTCTCAGGGACAAATAAAGTTTATCCTATCTTATTCAAACAATAGACCTTACAGTGAGTAAAATAGTACTTTGTTGTACTAAAGGGTTAAAATAACATTAAATAGCATTAAATGAACCTGAAATTTTAATCAGTCGGTTTACATCTGTGTAAAAGCTTTAAAACAAACCTTTCTCCAGTTGAATCACAGTGTGAGAGTGACGCAGCCTTATGACGTCACACCACCATTCCACAATAAAAGTCTTTTTTTTTTTTTAGCTTTTTCCCCCTACTCACTCTTATATGAGTCATGACTTATCGATACATTTCTCCCTCATTTTCCACTTTATAATTTATCTGCTTTCTGTCTTGTATTTGTAATGAATGGGGAAACATCAAATTCTCCAAATTTTTTATATAATTTTATATACGTAATAGGTTGAAACTTATTTGGGCTACAGTCCATTTGTCAGAATAAAAACAATATTTATAACCAAATAAGCAAACAAACAAATAACTAAATAGTTGTAAAGAAGCTTTTAAAATGACTGAAAAACTTAATACACTATTGAACAATACATGCACATGTTTAGATTTTACATTTTATAATGTCAGCAATCAGATATTATTTGAGTGTAAATTCAGAATGTGCAACTCACCTTATTTTATCAGCGTGCATGCTAACAACCGGGATTCACACAAGAGCATGTGCAAGGTGCGCGGGAATGTTTTTCTGTATGCATGCATCAGTTCGCTTTCACAAGCTTTGTTTCAGTTGCACATTGAGAATAACAAACTCGCACGTGTAAAAGATGCTAAATGTAAATGGCCCCTAATGTCTTTAATCTGGGATTGCCAATAATCGTATCTCAATGCTTTTACTAGAGGACATTTTTTTTTGCCACCCGCAGAAAAATCCCACCCTGGGCGATCGCCCACATTGCCCATGCCTAAATCCACCACTGGCAATGCTAAACGTTATTGTTCCACTATTATTTGTTTGTTTTGTCTCACCTCATCCATGTCCAAACTGTTGAACCATACAGTGGCTGTTTTTTGCCCCTGTATTCTCTTTATTTGCATTCCGCAGAAGAAACTCAAACAGATTTGGAAAAAGTAGAGGATGAGTAAATTACAGAATTGTGATTTTTATGTAACTTACCCCTTTAATGCTTTTGTAAGTAGAGGTAAAGTTAAATATTACTGAAGATTGCTAAAGAATGGCAGGAAACATGGAACACAGATAATAAGAGACAACAATTCATGTTCTACATAGGCCTATGAAGTTGTAGAAATAGAAAAGAAGAGGTCATAATTATGAGGATGAGATTTGGACTCAGATATTAATAGGAAGTAATGTGTTGTAGACATACAAATCATTATAAAGTGGATTAAAAAGTTTTAAGGTTTTTGTGAGAGAGAGCAGATATAGTGTAATGTGAAAATCATGGGAGAAATGTATCAGTAGGTCATGACTGCAACAGATCGTGGCAAAAAAGTTAAACAAAAAAAGACTTTTATTTTGCCGTGGCACGTGACGTCATCAGGCAGCGCCGCTTCGTCGCTGTGATTCAACTGGAGAAAGGTTTGTTTGAAAACGTTTACAGATATAAACTGATACAAAGTTAAAATTCTAAAGTTTTAAGTTTTTTATACGATGCTATATTATGTTAATGCTGTTGGAAATATTATTTTAACCCTTTATACAACGTAGTACTATTTTATTCTCAGTAACTAATGGCTATTGTTTGAATAAAGTAACAGGAAAGTGTGTAATAAGTTAAGTGTTGTAAAGAAACGTTTTGTTAATGACTCTCATATAAAGAAACCATTGAAGCAAGTGTTAAAGAGAAGTTATTTTGTTTCTGTTTATTGTTTTATTAGTTTTAAACAGGATAAAGTGTCCAAACACAGAAAAAAAATTCATGCTGAAGCGACTGATCTCCACACTGTTATAAAGATGGCGTTTATTAAAGAGGAGAGTGAAGATGTGAAGATTGAAGAAACATTCACAGTCAAACAGGAAGATCTGCAGGAACAAACAGGTTAGTTTTCATTCTTAAAGACCAACTCAGTCATTTGTTCCTCATTCAGATATATTTTAATAATAAGAATACTAAATTAAATCCATCTTGCAGCCCTGAGTGTGCTGCCTAGTTCTCCTAAATACACATAAGCACTCATTGAAAGACAGGAATGAGTTTCTTTCTTACTTGTTCTCATGTCTTTTGTCATTATTTTATGTATAATTAGTCTCCTATTTTCTCTACCTTTTTAACCTTCTTTTCTTGTTCTCCTACTGTTTGAAAAGCATCCCTGCGCACTGGCACTATATATAAATAAATAAAAACAATAAATTAAAAAAAGTTTAACTGAGCTGACAATATTTGACCTACATTATTCTCATAGAAGATATCTGCTATTACAGTGATAGTGTTGGCTTAGTACTTTCCATTTGCATATGTCACGTTGGTCACAATTACCCTTTTTTAATCAACTTCTTTATGGGTTTAAACTTGTTCCTAGTAGTTGTTACTAGTTCTCACAGATAGTATCTGAATTAGAATTACATCAATATTATTATAACTAATTACCAGGGCTATTGTGTTTAAACAGGGTATCCGTGGGGTCCTAAAATGTCGTACATTCCTAAATCAAACTTTTAGGTCTTCAAAAGTCCTAAATTTACTGAAATATTGTGTTGTAGGTCTTAAATCTTTTTTAAGCAAGTCTTTATTTTCGTTTGTTCATATTTTGTTACCCAATCTGGCCAAAACCCATACAATCACCAACAATCCATCTCAATAAAACATTAAACTTTTTTATTGAAAAGGGTCATTTTAACTCTATTTATCATAATGTTTTAATTATTTTCTTTACAATAACACTGGTTTAGACGTGCTCCATGTATTTACTGCTGAGGACATCGACCTGGACAGATTATTGTGCATAAATTTAGTTTATTATAGTTTTTTAAAGGTTTGGTCATTTTTTTTATTTTAGAGAAAGTTTATTTTGGATAAAAAGTGTGTGGATACTAGTAAAGCTTGCTTTTTTAAACAACATTTAAAATCTTTTGCTAAGAAATATCCAAAATAATATAGTAATTTTTTTGAATTTTTACATTTACATTTAGCATCTTTTACACGTGCGAGTTTGTTATTCTCAATGTGCAACTGAAACAAAGTTTGTGATAGCAATCTGATGCATGCATACAGAAAAACATTCCCGCGCACCTTGCTCATGCTCTTGTGTGAATCCCGGTTGTTAGCATGCACGCTGATAAAATAAGCGCTGCTCATGTGCCATGAAACTGAATTAACAGCCTTTTGTGCAGAGGTGTCGGCACACAGCGAGTTTTGCGAATGTAGCGGAGTGCGGGAAAGAAGCTTAGGGTTGGGGTGCTGAGACCCAAGCGATGGTTAAGCTTGCTAAAGGGTTAGCTCCCTTAGAACCACACTGTTAAAAATTGTCCCGTTAAAACTGGGAGCTGCAGTTGCCAGCAATGTACTGTTATTTTACAGTATGTTGCTGTAAAAATACATGGACTACATTGATTTACACAATACTCAAGTGAACTCATTTTGTTCACTGAAAGCAACTGCCTCAACTTGGTCAACTGATGAATGAGTTTATGAAGTAATGTGCTATATATGCTTAGAAGCATACTTATAATGATAACTTATTTTAGTTAATTAGAAAAGTTCGGTTTAACTCTAATGTCTTATTTTTCACAACAGCACACATACATGTAAATCTGGAATCACCAGAGAGATTCTGACTGCATCAGCAACTAAACAGCCGCTATCTTTAAATAGAGAAACATGCAGAATAACATCAGCAGTTCATTGTTCATCTTTAACTCATACACTGGCTCTACTCTCCTCCACAACGGTGACAGACAGAAGAAATTAGCTTCAGGTTTTACAGTAAAATACTGTTTTTTTCTTGATTTAACAGTAATCTACTGGCAGCTGTGGTTGCCAGCAATCTACTGTTTTTTTACAGTCTATTTCCGTAGTGTAAATTAACAGTATATTACTGTTAAAATACATTTTACACTGTGTTTTTACCTCTCACACCTTTAACCCTTTAAACCCCAGAGCCTATACTTCAGTTTTAATTGAAGTGTCCACACTACTGAGTGTTCAAGAAACATGGAGCAAAGCTGAAGTAAATTCATTAATTAACTGACTAATTAAATGATAATTGAGGATTAACAATGAACAAATGAAGAAATACTGAAGGGAAAAAACAAGAACAGAACATACAAAACTTTAGTCACAGCTTTATAATGAAATAACCTGAAGAACAACAAATGATTAAATCATTTAAATGATCAGCGGATGATTAAACAACTCTACAAACAACATCACCAGCTACACTTATTACTTAATACATGTACTTTTGTATAACATCTACTAAAGTTCTTCTTGAGAAAAAGTGAAAGTTTTACGTCACCATCATGGAGAACAGAGTTTGCTTTAGTTGGGCTCTTAGCCTTGTCATTTTTAACATTTATATATCTTGGCTGCTACAATTGTTAAGAACTTTGTTTAA